AGGGTAAAAGAGTAGCTCCAAGACACAGACAAGGCGGGAAGTGGGGTACGGACTCCTGTGTGCCTTGAATCTGAACTTCCTACTGTGGTGTAATTGTGTGTGTTCCTCCAGAATTCACAGGTTGACATCTACCCCAAGGAAATGGCATTAAGAGACGGGGACCTCTGGATTCAAAGCCTTCATAAATTAGTGCCCTAATGAAAAGGGTTGGAGGAGCCATTTAATCCTTTTCCCCTTCTGCCATGGTGAGGATACAGACAAGGCCCACCTATGAAGAGCAGGCCCTCAGCAGACACTGCGTCTGCTGGCACCTGGATCCTGGACTTCTCAGTCTCCAGAACTGTGAACAATAAATGTCTATGGCTTACAGATTACCTAATGTAAGGTATTTTGTTATAGCGCCCTGTTTGCTGATTTTGATATTTTGTGCCATTGTAAGAGTGCATTAAAGTTCAAGAAGGGACTCCTCCCTCTAGCATACAACAGTGCTCAATGGTCAGATCATGGTTTCTGACAATTGGTCATTCATTCATTCCTTCTGCAAATACTTCCTGTATACATACTAATACTTCCTGGCTCCCAGGGTATAGATGTAGAAGCCCTGGCTATCAATGGAGAAGGCCTTTCTTTTTGCAACTGTGCAAGCTTAGCCTATCCGGGGTGGGGTGCAGAAGGGGGAGATCCTCACAGTAGTCCCTTGGACAGCTGGGCGCACTGCACAAGAGGCAGCTGGTGCCCAGGATATCTTCGGGACCTCCTCTATGACCTCTTTCCAAACAACATGTTTTGTTTCAGCATAAAAAGAAGACAGCCCCTGCTCAAACCCCACCCATAATTGGTCAGCTAATGACATCATTAACAACCAAAATTGATTTATCTCTCAGATGCTTGAAAAGCTTAGACTTTAGCAATGGCCACACCTGAGTCAGAACCTGAAATCCACTTGGTCTGTCTCCATAATGTCCTAACCTTGTCAAGTCTCATTTTATGTCTTTAAAATAGATACAACAACATACCTTGCAGCATTTCCACCACTATTAGAGAAAATACACGCGCAACGTGCAATGCAGCACCCTGCACAGAGACAAAGCCTGACAAATGATTTTGCAGTTTCTCCTTCTCTGGCAAAATAGTTGCAGAACTTCACAAAAATTTTTGACATCCTTGGTAAGCATGCCTCTCTGTTCAGGTTCTACACATGCTGGAGAACAGGGGCAGCATATTGGTTTCAACACGGCACAATACAGACTTGCAGGGTCCTGTTTTCTTATCATACTTTGGGTAACCATATAACTTAGAAGTTTTCTTATCCAGTGCTCAACTGTACAGGGGTGAATGGGGGAGGACAGAGGTGGCCCACAGAGAGTGTGCAGCCAATACCAATCCCTCAAGGCAGCAGGCAGAGCTGATTCTTGGATGCTGCAGTCCAATAACATCATGAGTTTTAGACTTAAGGTTCAGTCATCCCAGATGCACCAGGACAGTGGCCCGTCACTCTTTCTACTCTAGCTTCAGTTTGTTCGGCACAGGTTGGGCAGTGGATAGGGCTATTGGCAGGACACGTCTGCTTCTCCTGTGCTCTTCGTCCCCCCTGCCTTGGAGTCCACTCAGACGATTTGCTAAGCACAGAAGCAACATGCAGGTCGTCATTCACCCTCTCCACAACCTTCCTTCTTCAGGTACTCCTTGTTCTCCCAAATCAGCTCAACTTTGAAAACTGGTAATGACTGCTCCACAGAATGGACAGGGACACTGGGCCTTGCCCAACACTACAGACAAGCCTCCTCTCTCAAGCCTACCATGTTGAGCTGTCTGCAACACATCAGGAAGAACTTTAGAGGACTTCCCTTTACCATCCCCACTCCAGCCTCATAGTCCAAGGAAATAATTTCTCTACAAGTACAAATTTGCCAAGAAATAAAATGCTAAGTCCTCAATCCTAGAAGGAGACAGAAAACAGAAGGAAAGTAAAGGGAAGATTGCAGGAGGATACTGCAGAGACAGGAGGAAGTCAAGAAACAACACAAGATGGCAGGAAGAACACATTGTTCATTTAGAGTCCAGCCGATGGACTCTGTTCCTTATTAGCCACATGACCTTGGGCAAGTCATCCACCCTTTCTGCATGCCCATCTTAGCAAGGCTTAACGTAGTAGTGAGAATTCAATGAAATGTATAAAGAGCTTCCTGCAGGGTGCCCTGCACGTGGAATTGATTAGAATCTTCCTATGGAATGTCAAGGCTGGAAGAGGCTGGAACGATGACCTAATCCTGGTGTCTCATTTCACAAACAGAGAAAGCAGGGCCCAGAGAGAGGAACGGACTTGTCCAAGGTCATAAGGCAAAGTCGTGGCGATGCTGGGGCTAGCACTGTCAGTTTATTTTCATTTTCATTTAGTATTTTTGTTTTTTACTGTATTTTAAAATCGGAGACCAAAACATCATAAACCTGCTCTTCCAAGAGGTGAAAGCTGTGCAGTTACCCAGTCTTCCACACTCTGGTGGCCCCTCAAGGCTCTGAAGCCCTGAATTTACGTTCTCTCTTTCCACTTAACAAGTAAAACAATGGTACTCTGTCCAGAGGGGGTATATATATATATATATATATATATATATATATATATATATTTCAAAATTAAAACTAAACTCCTAGGCCTTAACAAGAAAGGCACTACCATAAACCTTCTTTTTGCCTTCTTTTCTCACTACCCCCCGACCCAAATATTTTGCAATAATAGTAATGCTTCGAGGAAAGAAAAAATAAAAATCTGATGCACTTAGCAGATATTTCAGTACAATAATGTATCACAGATGTTCATATCAAACAGTGTATACGCGTATGCAATTTTACTGAGAAGGCTGTTGCATTTCTGAGTTTGGCTTTTGGGAACCCTAACGACCCATCTACCCAGGTTCTGGAATTCCTCCCTTTTCAGTTAGCCCAAGGCTGCCCAAGGGGTTAGAAGAGGGATTTCATCACTCCCTCCAAAATGATAACAGGACAAATTGGTGAAGTCAGATGTTCCGGCAGGTGGTGAAGGGTCTGTAGATTAGGGAAAACCAAGAGTAGTCTTATTTTCTTTTACTCAGGACTTACATTTTACAGCCCTTTTGAGACATCAGACCCAAGAACAATTTGAAAAGAGTGGGTCCAGGCTGGTGATGGCATGGATGCATTTTTGAAACAGAAATCAGAGTCTGTTTGATCTTCTAACATGGGCTTTGGAGACTGTCAGCGGGCTCCTTGCGGGCCGATGAACGGCTCTCAGGAACTTTTCCTAAAACATAACCTCACACACTTTACAGCAAATGTTTTCACCCCACCAGAGCCCTCATTTGGTTGAACAGCAGCATTTCCAGACCCCAAAGAAAGATAGTTTTGTTGTTTTAAGAGAGATAGATTAAAGCCAGGGGCTGTTTAACCAGAAGGCTCGAGTGCTCCCTTCAGCCCTTGTCGGATTCCTCTGTGGTTGGTACAAAGAGGGTGTTGAGAGTGACACTGGATCCCCCACCTCTCCAACCTCAAAAAGATATAGAGGCCTCTGAGCAGAGAGGCCCCCCACAAACCTGCCTCCAAAATGAGATGGGCGGTGAGTGCTCTCCCACCCCAGATAATATCAGCTCCCAAGCCTGGCAAGGGAAAAAGTCACTTCAGAGGGAGAGTGCCGCTATGTTCAGAGGAATCAGCACCGGGCCAGAGAATACGCAGGATTTTCCCCCGTGGAGAAGGAGTCAGGCATAGTCAGAACCCCGCGGGGCGTGACTAACTGCCCCAATATTCCTGCCCCTGGGGCCCTCTGGGTAAGGACTCCACAATTATGGGAGAGCCAGCAGGAGAACCGACAAACCCGCCTTTCATTTGGCCGGCAAGTCAATCTGCCTTCTTACCTCCCTGGGGACAATATTGCATTTCCCCTGGAAAAACAAAGGCCAGGGATCTCGGAAGGGGGATCAGTTTCTGCCACGGTTTCCCTGGTGAAGAGGTTGCAACATCTCAGGAGCAGTAGGCATGTCTGATTGTAGTGAGGATTTCTGCCTGGTCATTTTGGGGGCTGTCTTCTTAATGAGGAGCAGGCATGTTTCAGGACTTGGCCTCACTCAGAGGCCTGGGAGCTACCAGCCTGGGAGCCCCCACCAGGGATTGACAGTCCTGTTCTGAAGGCACAGATGTGAACTCATTGTTCCCAGGGCCTCAGAGTTGAGTTTGCGGCCAGGGAGTTGAGAGTGACCTCTGCCCATGGAGACAGGCCTTTAATGACATTTCACTGGTTCAGGTCTCTGGCATCCAGAGACTTTAAACTTAAGCCCCTCCCTTTTTCCTGCCCCCGCCCCTGAAGTTTAGAAATCAGAACTGTCAACCCTTAAGCAAACACATTTCTCTGAAATTATTAACCCCCAAAGTCTCCTTGCTAACTTTCTCCCAGTCTTTCTCCTTGCTAACTTTCTCAGGAGGCAGTCCGAGGGTGGCAGAGCTTAGCAAATCCTAGAGAATTCTGTAGCACTTAACCCGAAACAGCCAACCAGTGCTTAGAGAAGCCAGATTTGTGACACCTCCTCTGACAGCCCAGGCCAGGCACCACATCCCCCTGCGTCTCTTCCTGCAGACCCACGGCCCAGGGTATGTGCCCACACCACAGCCTCCTGACAGACCCCTGCTCCCAAGACAACAGGGCCTTGCAAGGCCGGACAGAGACTGGCAACTCCTTTTTTTGTTTTGGATCACTCTGATGCTCCCAGAGAAATTCTTTCTGCTCAGGCAAGCACAGCAGGTGGAGAGTGGATATCCCAACAGGAAACAACTGAAATAGAAGCAAACATCTAAACTCTTACCTCAGATCCTAACACACTGGTTTACCCTTATCCTAACAAAGCAGCCCTGGGCCAGAAAGGACCTCTCCCTGTGGAGAAAGGACCTGGCTCTGGCTGCCAACTGGAAAAGGAAGACAAGAATTAGAGAAGACGAACAAGATGCCAGGCTTTCCAGGCTGACACATTGCCTACCTGAGAGAAGTTGAGCCCATTGAGTGGATGGCACTGCTCCTCCACCCGCTCCACAGCACCAGTGTTCTTCTTCATCTTCTCAGCCTGCTGGGCCAGGTAGAGGTCCAGCACAGGCACGCCTCGGGAGCGCACATCCGTCTCAGTGAGTGAGTTCACCATGAGCATCACCCACACGGGCCTCTTGCGCTCCCAGTTGCCTGCGATGGCATTGAACAGGTAGTCAGCATAAAGCCCTTTTCCTCTCTGCGCGGGTGTCATCCAGGAAGGCATCATCAACTTCACATAGTCTAGGTGGCGCTTCAGGCGCCAGTAGAGCTCCTGAGGAAGCACATCCTGCAGGTTCTCCCCTGGGGGCAGCAGCTGGCAGCTGGCCAGTGCTGAGACTGTGTAGGGGTCCGTCAGGTCCAGTTCAAAGTAGACACGGGCACTGGCCTGGAAGGCTGCCTTAGAGTTGTCCGGGATGAAGTCCCAAACGCGGGTATAAGGGACGTGGATGGTGCCAAACAGGTAGGCTGGGGGATGGCGCCTAATAGTCCAGAGGAAGGAGTTCAGGTCCCTCTGCTGCAAGGAGAGAGAAGACAGGCCAGGCAGTGAGGGTGAAAGTGGCAGAGGAGAGCACAGAGGACGGCACAGACAGGGACAGGGGAGAAGGGGAAGAGAGCTGAAAAACCCACATCCAATTTGGCTTTATCATCTTTTATGCGAAAGATCTGGATTGAATCATTTCACTTCCCACAGACTCAGTTTCCTCAAATGAAGTGAGAGCAGGCGCTTCTGGGAGGACTAGAAGACATGATGTGTATATCCTGAGCCCTCAGGGCAGTGCCAGGCAGAGGAAGTGGGCAATGAAGAGCAGCTCTCATTATGGCCGGCTTTCACTGTGAGAGCCAAGCACTGCACCGTACCACCTGAGAACATTCAGACTTGGCCAAGTCAAACCTTCACCAGTGGTGTTTTGTGTGGAGGGCGGGGAGAGGGGGACCAAGAGTCCTGCTCTGGCAAGAAGGGAGGAAGTCATATAACTTTAAAATCCAACCATTAGAAGATACATGCCAAGAGCACTTTGAAAGCAGAACACCTATTAAAAATAGCACACCTATTTCAACAGCTACTTCCCATTCATCAGGGTGGATACGGTTTTCTTCTTGGAGGGCAGGTCTGGGGTGTTAGCTACTTTGCTCCACCAACTGAAACCACAGATGAGAAAGTGCTTTAACATCCTGCAAAGCCAAGTAAAGTCTCAATTTCTGGTTTGGGAGGCAAGGATTTCACAGAAGGGAATCCCAAGAAATATATATTACTCTGGGTGTGTTTCAGGTGCTTTACATATCAATGATGTATACCTGGTCTGCACCCCCAATTCTGTCATTTTCTATGACCAAGCTCTCACTGGGTGGGTGGGCACACCCCGTGTGTGTGTGTGTGTGTGTGTGTGTGTGTGTGTAGGGCATGTAGATCAAGTCCACATTTCCAGGCCCACATCAGGGCCAGAGAGTGAGGGGTATGAAGAGGAGATTATAATTTCTTGTAGGCAAAGCTATTTTCTGTCCAGAAAGTCCCTGGAGTCCCAGTGACCACTTGAGAGCTTTGATAAATTCAACATTTTTCTGCTGAGTTCTGGAACAAATGAAAAATATGTGTTGGGGGTGTAGATGGGTGAACAGTTCCTTACTTTGATAACAAGCAAAAGTTGTGAGCCCCTGTGCATTTGTGATACACTGATCAGCTGCACAGCTAACAAGGCCCCTGTTCTGCGCAGGACCAGCTGCTGGAGCTGCACCTTGCCCAAAGCCAACTAATTCCCTGCTAACAGGGCAGTGCACAGGCCCCACAACACAGTTCTCCGGTCTCCTGACCTCCAATTCAGGGCTCCTGCCAGTGTGTTAACATACTTGAAGTGAAGGATACCAGTGAAAATCAAGGGATACCTGACTTTAGAAGGACAATTACAAGGACCAAATCCCTAGACCCTCAAGGAAATACTGGGCTAACATGTCTTGACATTTGCTTTTTCTCTCTTCTCGAGTCTTCCCTTTATTCACCCAAACAAACAGGGGCCCCTTGGACAGTCGGGCTAGAGCCTGGGCTTCAGGGGAAGAAAGGTAAGGGAACTAGCACCAGGGAGAAAGTGTGCCCTGGGTCGAAACAGGAGGGCAGGGAGAGAGAGGCGAGCCTGGGAAGGGGCAGAATGTGTAAGTGAGAGGGCAAAAGGGTTGGCTGGAGCTTGGAGAACAGAAAGCAAGGAACGTAGGAAGATAAAGTCAGAAGAGGACAGGGACCACAGGGTCAAGACAGAATACAAGTCAGAGAGAGCTGAGACAAAAAAAAAAAAAAAAAAAAGGCATAGCAAGCGGAAATGTCCAAGCAGGACCAAAGGCGAGAGGAAAGCCTGAACGTCAGCCAGTGGAGAAGGAACGGGAGAGAGGGAGCGCCCCATCTCAGATCCCGAGCTTCAGCAGACAGATGTAAGCAAGAGATGGGAGTCCAAGGCTGTTCCCAGAGGGCAGAGAAAGTGCGGGCGCACTGAGAAGGGGGTTCGGAGAAGGGCAAGACCCAAACCGTCGCCCCAAGAACTGAAGTGCCCAGGCGGGCGCGCAGGCAGGAGAGTGGCAGGGCAGGCACTCGCTCACCGATCCGGGCGGCCGGCACTGTCCTCCGTCCGGGGGCTGCGGGCGGGCGCGGGCGGTGGCGAGAAGGACGGCGAGCAGTGGCCCCGCCAGGGCGGCTTGCATCCTGCCGGGGCCCGCGGGGAGCGGGGACCTTCCAGGGAAGCGCCCCCTCAGCAAGGCGGGTAGCCCCCAGCTGCTACGGAGAATCCTTCGGAGCGCGGAGCTCCAGCCGCGAGATGCTAGGAGCCCTCTGGGACGTGGCTGGATGTCCCAGTTGGACCTGGGGGTCTCTTTGGGGCGGGGCTCGTTCTGTTGGAAGAGGGGGACCCTCTGGGGCGGGGCCCCTCACCAGGGCGCGCAGCCCGGTTGGCCAAGCGCCGGGGATCTAAGAGCGCGCAGAGGTCCCAGGCACGCAGGGGTCCCAGAGCTGCGACGGGGTCCTGGGACACGTGGGGTTGCTGGGGCAGCACGGATATCCTAAGGTGCGCGGGTTTCGGGTTATGCTGGGCAGTCGGGGCGCGCAAGGGTCCCAGGGGTGCGCGGCACTCCAGGGGGCGCGCGGTGGGACAAGTGCTGCGGAGGTCGCAGCGGTGCGGGGGTCGGGTGTGCGGCGCCCGGTGGCCCCTGCGCCCGGCTCAGAGGGGCGGCGGGCGGCCGCGCG